TATAACAGAAGAGGCACATAACTGCTCTAATTCCCTAAGTATTATAACTCCACACACAACAAATCACTGCTAATTAACTCAAGCTCTTGTTCTTCCCATGGAAACGATGCCTCTACATTTTATTTTCGGAAAACAGTAACTATTCTGAAATGAAACAGGAGTATTGACTTTCAGCTCCATTTTTTAAAAAAGTCAAACTAGTTCACTCATCCTTTCTTTCAGTTCAGTTACCATATTATTTTAAACCCTTAAGTAAAAAACATATAAAAGATTTAAGTCAATCTGAAACCCAAATATACAAGGAAAACAAACCTCTGTGCATTTTTACTTCTATCTTAAAAAATTAACTGGTAGAATTCAACTAGAAATTTAAAAATTCATTTAGTCTACTATTTTTGAGGACTTTGTTCACATGATTTAAATCTAAAACCCTATTAGGAAATATTTTTCCAATTAAATGTATTTGTATTTAAACTGCAACTGGGAACTAAAATATAGAAAATGAACAATTCAATTAATGACAATCTAAAAGAAACTTCCCACTTAAAAAGAACTACTATTAAAAAAAAAAACTACTATTACTGTATGCATACAGTAAACACTAATCTCCCTTAATTACATTAATTGACCCACTTCTTAACCTTTAGAGCTAGAGACAAAGGTAATTTATACTAATATCTAACCAGTTATTTTCTAACAATGAACATTATTTATAATGGCAGGGACTTGATCTTGCTAGCTTGCGTATGTATTCTCAGTGACAAAATGTTGCCTGGCTCAGACAAAGTTCTCAGTACATAAATCTGTTGATTGGGTAAATTAACCATTCATTCTATAATTAAAATTTATTGAATGCACTGGGTTCCTTATATGCCTAGATGTTAGCTTGAACTGAATATTTAAAAGAATATCTGATTATCAGTGAAATTTAAAGATTAGCTAACTTATAAAAGCAACCTAAAATTTCTTACCTGGTAGGGTTGAAAGGCACTATCTTCAGTTAAAAAATCCAGTTGTTTATCTACAAGGAATTCTACCGCAGTGATTGAACTGGGTATACTTTTTTCAACCAGGGGTTTGAAAGTCTGGTGAGAGGAAAAAAAAATTCATAATGGTTATTTTCTGATTTTATACTCAAATACAAAGGGCATATATGAATACAACGTACAAATGTCATTATCACAGTGATTTTAGGATACCAATTAATATTTTCATATTAAATCTAAATGCTTTTATTCACACAATAAAAATATTTTATATTAAAAAGGAATGAAGATGTAGAATTTATTTTTAAAAGGATTTAATCAAGTATACATATATAAAAATTTCTTTTGTATAAAAATTTCTAAGATAAAAAGAGAAATTGCTTCTGAAAAACTCAACTGACTAGGAGAGCATATTTACTACAACTCTTTTTTAAAAAATTATTACGTATTAATTTTTATAAAAACAGAGCAGGTATAGTTCAGAGTTGTGGTGTTTTTTTTTTTTTCCCAGCTCATTCACATCAAGGATTTTAAATGATCAGGATGCATCTGGTCTTTTAACTCCACCCCACGTGCTACCCACCCCCCGCCCCTGCCCCTGCCCCAAGCACAAATAAAAATCCAGCTGCTTCAGTACGAGCAGCATGGGGGAAGGGAACAGGAAAAGAAGGAGGTAAGAAGTATTACACAAAACCTACCTCTCAGTCCAGATCTCTACTACTACTCTAAAAATCAAACAAACAGACAAACCAAAAAGGGGGGCTGGGAGGTGGGGGATCCATGGTCATTTTGATTATTTTAAAGAAGACTCACTCATCTTTTACATAAAGGAGTATACTCATATCTTGGGGTGGGGTGGGAGTAAAGGAGGCAGAAGAGGAAGAGGAAGAAAGGAAACAAAGGTACTATGTATGCAGTTTTTAATTACTGTCATACTTTCGAAGCAGAAGCAGCTAGAATAAAAACCAAGAGTCACATCCCTGATACTTTCCTAAACTTTACACAGAATGGCTTTAGTATAAAATAATCTAAGTGTGGAAAATGGAATTAACAACCAACTTAGTTTAATAAATTACCTATATAACATGGAGAAATTTTTCTTGCTACAAGCCAACGTGTGTGACCATTTATATACAAACCAAAGCTTTTGGCACAGACAGTATAAATCCCCAGGAGATTGAAAGCCATTGTGTTTACCCCTTCTCTTATTATGTCTTAAAGAAATCTAACATCTTGTTAATCACAACTAATTCGCACTCTGGGGAAAAACCTTTCAAGATATGTAGTTCAGAGTGGCTCTTAAGGAGTTAATTTCTGTATTTAAGAAATTTCTTTTTAAAGCTTTCGATTCATTGAAGAGTCTGTAACAATGTTTTTGAAAAAGCTAAAATTCATGAGAAAAAAGCATTTAAAACATGCCTTATTTCTATACTACACCATGAACTTAGTATCTTCTTTCCTAAATATAGCATGAAAAAATTATCTTACATCCCCACTTATTTTCAGTATCTATGATTAGAAAATCTAACCACAGTTAAGTTCCTCCCTCCCCAGTCCTAAAGCTAACCTTTTAAGTACTACATATGTATCGGGAGTATTCTTATTTGGGTGAGAAATTACATTTTCAAAACAGACATTCCCCTATTACTTAGCTATCTCCTGCAACTATTGCCAACTAGCATTTTCCATTTGCCAAGACTAAATTCCCAAAATTATTTCATAAAATCCTATTATTTTACCTAACAAATTACTAAAGTTTTGTAAGAAATCCAAGAGCATTTATCTAATTTAGACTTTAAAATGTCTACCAATATGTGACTGACCTATGCAACATTTTTCATATTATATATTTGTTTAGTTTTTAGTAAACTAGAAAACACCGGCACCTTTTCAAGAAGACTTGATTTAATCCTTGAACTTTATTCAAATGCTCTATTTCTTTTCAAACAGTACCATGTCAGGTCAACTTGTGAAGGTTAACAAAAAGGTCTACAAAAGCTATTATCTAAGTGGCTAAAGGTACAATTCAATTAAGTAGGATGTGAAAAAGAAGTAAACTCCTGTCTGAGTGCCTCTTTCTTACGCAAATAATACAGGTGGTTTGCATTTCCTATGAGACCTAGTCATTTTATAATATGAAAAACATTCTTGTGAAGAAAACCTCTCAGAACTCTGCTTTTTTTAAGGTAGGTCAGAGTTCCAAGGGTAAATTTTAACAGGCCAACTAATCATAATTTAAATCACTGAGTTAGTTTAGTTTCTAGGCTAAAATAAAAAAAGAATTTCTCATTTTAAGATAACTAATTGAAAGCCACCTGGAAAAATCCAGCTATCAGAAATGTTAAAAGATTAGTTTATAAAGGTCTATTTCTGATACATTAATACTTAAAATCCTGTACAAATGGAGGTCAAGAGTATATCATGCTTCTTAAAATAGTAAATAGGGCCACAACTGGCAAATTTTAAAATGTGCAATTACATTTAAGCTATAAATATGTTACCAGCAAATGCTGATAAATACTTTTACAGTACTTGTTAAGAAATGTTTCAATATGTATTAAATAAACAACTCTGAAAAATGTGACTGTTACCACTTTATGGGAAAATTAAAGACAAACAACATATGAAACTAAGTAGTTAAAACACTGATTGTTTTAAAGTGGCAAATCAAAGAAGTAACCATTATTATTTGTACCCAAGTTAAACACATTTCAAAGACCTACTATTAGCTTACAAATAAAAACATAAATATTTAAATAAAAGTGAACAGATCCTACAGCTTTTATGATGATTCTGTACTAAATATTTCATGGGCCTAGGTGTACTGGAATGTAAAGAAACTAGCACTCATGCATAACTAAGTAATTCAAGACTAAAGATATATCCTCCTATGAGGAACTTCCACAGCCTAAGGGGAAGCAATGAGCTACCATCTGATGAAAGACACAGTAGAATATGGCCCGAATCACAAAAAGACTATTATTCCAATGCTGAAAAAAGCCTCTGAAAATCCAAATAAAAATCACTAACTTAAAATCGAATATTCATAATTTAAAAAAACCTTTTCAATTTTATTAATGGATTAAGAGTTCTTTTAAGGTTCTTTGTCTGTGTTAATCATACTTTAAAAATAACTTAAAGCCAAAAAAAATAGTTGAGAGCCTGCATTTTTAGTGGGGCCTACACCACGCTATAGGAAGAATGCTTAGAACAACTGTATCCTGTTTAGGGCTCCATGCTGCACCACATTCCATTCACATGAGGAAGAGGAGAACAGATGAGCCCTCCTCAAAAAAACATTTTTAAAATAAATCAGCTACAGCTCTCAAACATAACTCAGCTGCTCAAACAAACCATGTTAAAGCTCACATTTAACATTTAACTGAAAATTCACAGAGTTTATGTCTGCAGTCTGAGTTTCTAACAAATCTCCAGTTAACATTTTACAATTCCTTTTCCAAGTTAAAAAAAAAATCATGCTCATTAACTACAAAAATCTGACATAAAATTCACTAAAGGAAAACGCTGAAGCAGAAAACTAAGCAACATTTTAGAAGTCAAGGTTTAGTCTACAGAAAAAAAAAAAAAAAAAGACTGGAGTGACTTGAAAGAACAAAGTCCAAATTCCCACCCAAGCAGGTCTATTGAAAAACACGATACTGTTAGAAAACAAGTTGGGGGTGGGGACTGGAATACACCACACAAAAACCCTCACAAAACAAATAACCTCACTTCCCTTAAAACACTGTATTCTGAAAACCCTAACCTGAAACGTTTCTGCTGTAATACTTTAAACAATTAAACTCTAGTTTTTAATCTTTTTACAGTGTTATGAAATTACTACACACACAATAATCTTTTCTGAACAAATGAAAATATTTAAAATTTCGTAAAACTAAGAAAACTAAGGCTAGATCAGTAAAAGGCAATGACCTTAATTCCTAAGGCTGAGAAGTAAAACCAAATGTAAATTAAGACAAAAGAAAAAGGAAGCAGAAAAATACAAACCGTACTTTGTTCTTTAGAATTTTAAAGTATCTTCAAATCTCAGAAATCCACGACACAGCTTTAAAGGTCAAGAAGTAGCTGACATTTCCATTTCACTCTTGAGCAGTATTAAAAATCTAACCTAAATACTTCTTTACTCTTCAAAAATCACAGGCAAATGGCTCTCAAACCAAGCATTTCTGAGCTCACTTGCAGCGTCGTCATTGTATATAGGAAGAAAAGCCAAGACCACAAAACGAAGCAGAGCTGTAACCTAACAAGTCTCCGACGAGCAAATGACGATTTTCTGTCTGCTCTGGCTCAGCCCTGGCAGTGATGAGGATTACAACTCGCTCTTTGTCATCAGCACTGTGGTGTTAACGACTAAGAAATCCTGCAGCTGAAGCACTACTGCATCCTCCGATCTGGGTCAGGATAATTTCTCCCGAGGTCGCTTACATAACCAGTGAGATACTCCAAATAGAGAGAACAGCCATCCATCAGCTAGAGAAAGCCTTTCCCACTGTACTCTGCGTGGAAACACACTGCAGTAGCTTCCAACAGTGCAGACACCCAAATGAGAAAGACTACTTGGCTTAGGGCACTCTGAGAGAAGGGAAGAGGCGGTGCTCTGTAAACTGTAACTAATCCCCCGTCACAGGTGCTGATGGAGTCACTTCCAGCACGAGTCACATTACTGGTGATTACTCATTTGGCTGCGGCCATAGAGACTGGCTCATAATTTTAACAACAGACAAAGACAGACTAGTGGTGAGACTGAGACCTCAAGTTTACTGTCTCTTTCAATAAAGCAAATGCAAATACAAAGTTTTTGCTTTCCAGATTAACGAAGGTGAGAAAGCGCAGAAAACAAATAATATGTAAGTATCTTTCAAGTTGGCAAAAAAAAAGTTTAACTTTAAACTACTGAAAATACTATGTGTTTTAAAGTCCTTATTTTTAGCTTAATCATTAGCTTAAAAATATACTGATATTAAAAGAAAACCAGGAAAAAAAGCAGTTAAAAGCATTTTTGGAGTAACAGTCTAAATGAAATCAAATGACATAACCACATAACTCAAAAGAAAAACTGGTCATATTTATTTTGGCAGACTTAAAAAAATACTCCTGAAACGACTTTATTCTTTAAAAAAAAAACAATTAAAACAAAACAAAACAAAACAATTTAATCTAGACAACTCACAGCTATAAAAATCTATCATTTAAAAGCATAAAATTTATTTTTCTAATGTGTTTACTAACATACGCTCTTCACTTCTTTCTAACCTCAAGAGTTATGCTGTCCAATATAGTGGCCACTAGCTACACATGGCTATTGAGCACCTGAAATGAGATAGTCTAGAATTAGATGTGTGCTGCATGTGTATATACACAATGAATATAAAAAAAATGACTATTAGATACCTGTAAGTGTAGAAAACATTTGCCCTATTTTTTTTAAATGATGTGAATGGTCATAAATACGATCCAGTGTAGACATCTCAATTTTAATAAACCTAAAAATTCATGTTATTTTAATACCACACACAACACAATCAAGTCATATTAAGAGAAAAACTGCCAGTCACAAGCCAATGCCTTCTCTATACCTATTCCAGATGTATCAGTTTCATTTCACAGAAGACATCAGATTAACCACTGAAAAGATATTTTCAACTTAGCATATGACACACTGTATCTACAAAAAAATCTCAATCTTTTTGTTTTAAGGATCTTAGAGACAGATAATTATTCTAAGAATGTTATAGTAAGATTAGCCTTTGAACACTGATGGTACTAAAATACAGCTTTAGAACAAAATATTTCTAAAATAATAAATCAGGGCAGCCCCGGTGGCCCAGCGGTTTAGCGCTGCCATCACCCCGGGATGTGATCCAGGAGACCCAGGGATCAAGTCCCACATCAGGCTCCCTGCATGGAGCCTGCTTCTCCCTCTCCCTGTGTCTCTGCCTCTCTCTGTATGTCATGAATAAATAAAATCCTTAAAAATAAATAAATAAAATAATAAATCAAGTGAACATTACATGATACCATTTCAATAACGAATTCATAATTAGACATGAATATAAAACTTACATGGAAATAAAAGAATTCCAAATGTCATGTAATATATGAAAAAAAAAAACAACTGGATCAATACGGCAGATTTATTCTGAGCCCCAAACAACAAAGAAACATCAAATGTTTGATGCAGGCTACTAGATTATAAACATCATATTTTCAGTACATTTTCCACTACATTTCTACAATTTATTGTACATTAGAGAATGAGCTTAATATTTCACAGGATTCATCTTACAAGCTCACATAAATTCAAGTTTGACTATATGATATAGACTTAAAAAAAAGCTGTCTTTGTTCCTCAAGTACTATTAGTACACTACAGAAACAAACAGCAAATAGAACTACCCTGAGCTAACAATCCAAATGCCATCAAATTTATATATTCCTAGTGGCATAGAATACAGTAATTTTGTAAAAATCAAAATAAGTGATATCAATAAAGAGAAACCATTTTTATTTCATACTATATCACAGTTGAATTAAAATTCTTCTCCATTATTTTTAAAAAAATACTATATAGTCAATTCTTAATGCAAACAGGTGAGCACAAAGATGCAACTAATTGAAAGCCATAAATATCTTTTTAATATTTATTTCATAAATTGGGCTTGACAAATATTTTAAAAATATTTTTAAAAATGTAAGAATATGACTCTGGTCTGGTACTCTGGTAAATTTCTAATACAGATAAAGACAGTGAAATAACAATATAGAGAACCCACTTCCTAGCAAGCATAAAAAGTTGCTCAGCTTTTACATCAAGTCTCCTTAATTCTCTCTTGTTTTTACAACCTCTTAGGGATGGTAGATACCACCTTTCAGACAGCAAAAAGCACCATTTTGAGGAGAGCAGAATTTTAGTCCTTTAGATTGGTTGTTCTTATGGCTTATAACTTAATGGATTAAGGAAGTAAGTTGAATAGTTACTGTTAATTTTTCTTTTCCTTTTTTTCTTTTTCTTTTTTGGGGAAGGAGGGGAGTTGGGTGAGGGTAGGGGGTAAAAAGTCTTTTTTGGCAGCTAAACCAGGCTAGAGGAAGAGGAAACTACTCCAGTTACTGCCCAGAAATACACATCTCTGACTTCCTTCCTTTTTAGCTGGTTTCTAGGTTACAAGCTGAATAAATCAACAGAGGTGAGAAAGTAAACAGAGGCTAAAAGGAAAGCAACACGGTCTGGCTAGCTAAAGAAAATCTGTTTCTTCCAATAATGTAAGAACCTTACATGTGTAATTAAGAGTTAAAATAAATGAGCCTTTTGGTTCCATTTATCTTAGGCCATGGAAGAAATAAATTCCTCACCTTTAAAGATATAAAAGCCTAAAGAAACAAGTGGATTTCTCCAAGTATATATTTAAAATAAAATCCAAAAGCCTCTTGGTTCAATGACCTAGCACTGTAAATATTTTTGTAGACATAAAGGTAAGAAAAGAAGATGAACAAGAGTAGTTCAGAGGATTTTAGTGTGATACTGCCTTATGTGAAGGCTAACTAGAGTCAGGAAAATACTTTTCAATGTGCCCTACTGTTCTGTAATACACAATCAAACGTTTAACCATTGTATCGTGGTAGTATCCAAAGGATTAACTTCTTCACAAAAATGAATCCATGCAGAACCTCCAGGGACTGCAAAGATGGTGTAAAATAGTTCCCTACTTTCAACAGACTAGGAGGTCTAAAAGGATTTTCAGATGATATGGGCCTAGTCTTGCGGATTTTTAAAACTTTCTTCCCTCCTTCAAGCATTCAGCACATTCATTCAATCAACAGGTATGGGGTGTCTTTTAATGTAACAAGCACTACCCTTGGCCTAGGTATTCAATGGTGAGGAAAAGACAACCAAATTCCTACCCTAGCACACTAGCACACATTCTACACTTTTATTTAGCAGGAAAGAGATAAATCAATTATCATAGAAATAAAAAATTACACTTTTTAAAAAAGATTTATTAAGATTTGTTTATTTATTCATGAGAGACACAGACTGAGAGAGAGAGAGGCAGAGACACAGGCAGAGGGAGAAGCAGGCTCCTTGCAGGGAGCCTGATGCAGGACTCAATCCTGGATTCTGGGATCACGACCTGAGATGAAGGCAGGTGCCCAACCACTGAGACACCCAAGTGTCCCAAAATTACACTTTAAGAACTCAATTAATAGGGGCACCTGGGTGGCTCAGTGGTTGAACCTCTGCCTTTGGCTCAGGCCATGATCCTGGGGTCCTGGGATCAAGTCCCGCACTAGGGTCCCTGCAGGAAGCCTGCTTCTCCCTCTGCCTGGGTCTCTGCCTCTCTCTGTCTCTCATGAATAAATAAAATCTTTAAAAAAACCTCAATTAATAATTGGAGAATTAATGTTCCTTCCCCTCCTTTCTTCACTGTATCTTTGATATCACACCCAGTCATAAGAGGAGTGCAACAGAATGCATCCATTCTTTAAACCTTGCAGATATTGATGACATATAGTTGAGCTAAGAAAAATCACTGTTGAGGAAACTAAAACAACATAAAAACACACTATGCAAATACACTCTATATTTTTTCAATAACCATATGGCTGAATTCAGTTTCCTTTGTTTTGTTTTTTCCTTCTAGGCCATCTGAATACTAATAAGGCATATACTCTATACTCTAGAGTAGTTCTAAGTTTGTCATTGCTATGTTTTCTTTTTCAGAATCTCCCTGATCAGAGGCACTTCTTTCCTTCCAGTATTATGAGGTTCGATTTACTCTTCAGTCTCTCAAACTTTGCAGGTGTGCGTCATTAAGATAACCAATTTTTCTTTCTATAAATAAATGAGTAATTCCAAACTGTACTTTTAGATCTGTATTTAATACCAATATTAGGACATTGTTATATTTATATCCTGTCACCACATAAAGCCATTTATGACTAAAATTAAATGCTTAACCTTTCTTAAGTTATTCACACTTCTTTCAAAACCACTATAAGTACTATTACTACTTACTTTAAATACAGATACCGCAAAATTCACTAACAAAGTGATCATGTTTGATAATTTGTCTCCCTAGCTCATATATTACTCTATATACCTGATATTTTCCTTTAAAACTCCGTCAATAATGAAAATGTAATTTTTCATGGTTTTTTTTTTTCTTTTAGATTTTATTTATTTATTCATGAGAAGTAGGCAGAGACACAAGCAGAGGGAGAAGCAGGCTCCCTGTGGGGAGCCCAATGTGGAACTTGATCCTAGGACACTGGGATCAAGATCTGAGTTGAAGGCAGACATTAAACCACTGAGCCACCCAGGAGTCCCGAAAATGTAATTGTTCTATAAATTATTCCAAACCTTTAATCTGACCTCAATAAAAATACCAATAAGATGTTGGAACTGGAAAAATCAATTTTATGCAAAAGTAAATATAATCAGGAAAGTTCTTGAAAGAAAGAGAGAAAGAGAAAAATGAAGAAAAAAAATATTAATGATCGGGAACTAGCCTAACAGATACTACATTTCCAGGCTCAATTAATACAACAGTGTGAAACTGGAGCATGAATCAAGAGTCATCAGGAGAGGGCAGCCCCGGTGGCTTAGCGGTTTGGCGCCACTTTCGGCCCAGGGCATGATCCTGGGGTCCCGGGATCGAGTCCCACATCAGGCTCCCTGCATGGAGCCTGCTTCTCCCTCTGCCTGTGTCTCTGCCTCTCTCTCCTTCTGTGTCTCTCATGAATAAATACATAAAAATTAAAAAAAAAAAGAGTCATCAGGAGATAGTTTATAAAGTCCCTAAATAACATCAGATAAGTATGGGCATCTAATATAAGATAAAGGTGGATTTTCATATCATATGGGGGGAAAAAGAATGAGAAAACTGAGTAAATTCTTTTAAAAACAGAAATGGAACTTTAGAGAGTAATAATGTAATTTTTACAGATGAAGAAACAGACACAACAAGAAAATAAGTGACTGAATTTTCCTGTCCAAAATCTTTTTATAGAAGCCCTGGGACTAGAACCTGGATTTCCTAACTCAGAGCTGAATGATTTTTACATTCTAAGATGGTGTGAAGGAACTATATTGTTTTCATTGCTTGTTGGCATGAGGTGGCAAAGAGCAAAGTGTTTTGCCATCTGCTGAATAAAACTTTAAACTTTGAACATAAAATGGAGGAAAAGGAAACCAGTCTAGAACAAACTACAAAATTATATACCTGAGGGGAAAAAAAGGGTAAAACCTAATAATTTATATATTTTTAATATGCTTTAATAACATTGATGTTACCTTTCAGGAAGAAGAAATAAGCAGGATTAGAAAAAAAAAGCAATTCAACATGAAAGGGTTTTTAAGATTGTGTTCATAAAAAGAACACAGGAAGACGATAAACCATTAATGGTTAAAAAGAAAAAGAATTCCTATTTTGTTAGTTACTTCTGTCAAGAAAATTATTTTTAATATGGCAAGTGTAAACTAGAGATTACAAATAAACTAAACTAGAAAAGAAAGTAGAGGATTCTTTTTAAGAAACCAAATTAGTTTTCCTTATAAATAACATAATTACAATAGAGATAATTTGGAAAACAAAAGAAATGGGTAAAAAGGATCTTCTACTTTTAACAGTTAAGAAGTAAGTAGACTTTTAACCCATTTTTTTTTACAAGTATATTTGCTACCAAGTTTCAAGATACAACTTAAAATGAGCAGCCTGGGGCAGCTGGGTGGCTCAGTGGTTGAGTGTCTGCCTTTGACTCGGGTTGTGATCCTGGGGTTCTGGGATCAAGTCTTGCATTGGGCTCTAAGGAGCCTGCTTTTCCCCTCTGCCTAGGTCTCTGCCTCTCTCTGTCTCTCTCATGAATAAATAAATAAAATATTAAAAAATAAAATAAAATGAGCAGCTTATAAATTGTATCTTGAAACTCATTACATCACCATTCTTTAAAATAGTTGCCTAATAAAAACTTAATCAAGTAAATGAGCACTGAATTTTATTATGCATTTTCTTAGTGTTGGATATTTAGACTTTTTGCTGTTTTATTATTACAAAAAATAAGACAATCTTCATGCTTTTATTAACTAAAAATCCAAGTTTATATGGGCTCAAATAAATTACATGTTAGCATATTAACTTGACAGATATAAACTCAGAGCCATTACTGATAGTTTTTGAAAAAACAAATCAAGGCACTGTCAAGATATTACAGACAGGTATCTATTGATATAAAGGAGGAAAGGAGCAATTCAGAAACAAATTATATGCTAGTAAACTGGAACTCCAGCAAAACCCCAAGATGGATAACCAGAATCATAAAAAAAAAACCTAATAAACAGTGATTACTAAGAGCAAATATACTCATTGAGAATAATTTGTCTTTTAATAAAAACAAAGATTACTTTCATCAAGACAACCTGCAATAGGAAAGGCAATGAAATATGTGCCTGGATGACAGTTTTTGAAGCTGGTTAAAGGAATGCTAAATAACAGTACTCTTTTTTTAACCTATATGTTTAACCTGTACCTGTACTGTTTCTAATCATCTTTTGTCTTACATACTATTACATGAAGACTATCTTTATTTGCAAATTAATAAATGACACAATGATTCAAAAAGAGAGGCACCAGTCCCTTGAGGTCTTGCATTGGTCATACTATCCCTGAATATCTTGCTCAATTTAAGAAAACATGAGAAATAATTACAAGCTGAGATGTGTAAATGACATTTAAAAATCATGGATTATTAGGATTATTTAAACAAAAGGAGAATGTCTTGCCTGGAGAAGAAGAGGACAAGTAATGATTATTTACAATTATTTAAAGTGTTAGGTTATTTGGAAAGGAAGGATCTTGTGTAAGTAAAATTCAAAAGCCAATTCTAGCTCAACACAAAGAATAAAAAAATTTATAATAATTAAACATTACCATACCAAAGCAGACTTACTCATGAAGTAGTGAGCTTCCAATAACTAGAAGCAATTAAGAAAAATCTGGATGAACACTTGACAAGTGTCAAGTCATTGAAGGATCCCATTTCTGGCTGTGGCAAGGAGTGATTTACGAATATTAAAGATTCTTTCGGGCAGCCCTGGTGGCGCGGTGGTTTAGTGCTGCCTGCAGCCCAGGGCGTGATCCTGGAGACCCTGAATCGAGTCCCATGTCGGGGTCTCTGCATGAAGCCTGCTTCTACCTCTGCCTGTGTCTCTGCCTCTCATTCTCTCTGTGTATCTATGAATAATAAATAAGGGATCCCTGGGTGGCGCAGCGGTTTGGCGCCTGCCTTTGGCCCAGGGCGCGATCCTGGAGACCCGGAATTGAATCCCGTGTCGGGCTCCCGGTGCATGGAGCCTGCTTCTACCTCTGCCTGTGTCTCTGCCTCTCTCTCTCTCTCTCTCTGTGACTATCATAAATAAATAAATAAATAAATAAATAAATAAATAAATAAATAAATAAATAATTTAAAAAAAAGATTCTTTCAAATTCTAAGATTCTAATACTAATACTGTCTTCTTTAAGCCATTTCCTTCATGTTTATGAGCAAAGTGAAGATAAGGAAGATTAAATCAAATTTTCATAAACACTGCTTCTACTTTTGCATATCTTAAAGCATAAAGGGAATACTGTCAAATGTTCATGTATCATTCAGATAAGGTGGAAGAGCTAAAAGTAAAAACTAACTTCTCTCATATCAGAATAAATTAAGTTAACCAAGGTTTGTACCACTGGGCAGCAATAAAACTACATGGGAGACTTCTACAATATGGGATTTCTGTAATCCACAGATCCTTTGTCTCTTATGATAAAAAAGCAAACGTAATTTTGTGGGAATGGGAAATATTACAAAATTAAATGAACCCAACCATAAATGCAAAACATGTATTAAAAGGGTAATAATCAAAATCACAGAAGAAATTCAAAGTTAAGCTAAAATATGTCTTATAGTTTTGCGTCCTGTCAAGCATACCATCTCAGAAAGTAGGGTATATGCCCTAATGTTTGCATATAACAGATTTCCTGGTCTTTTTTGTTCTAAAACTAATTTAAAAATGTATTTTCCAATTTTTCTTAATCATTTCACTGTTTGTACTTTTGAAAACTTGAATAGAATATCTATTTCTTTACTGGTTTTATTCATTTCCGTCTGGCAAACATCTGTTTCTTGTACAGCACAAGTCAACAAGGCTCTACAATTATTTCCCCATTACCTCCTTGTTTGTCAAAAACTCTGATGTCAGCAACAATCTAGAAGCTGAATTTTTCAACGAATGGGGGATTCACAAATTCCATTAAGCATGATATGGTAATTATTTTACTTCTTTAAAAAATTAATGCTTTTTAGGTAATGATGATCATGTATGCTAAGTACCACTTAGATTCAAAATATAGTTAATACCAAAATTATCCAAGTTTCAACCGTATTTCTTTAATTATTGATCATTTATGCCAACATTTTGACAGTCATATCAAAATACTGCTATGCAAATTTAAAAAACTAAAATGGAAGAAAAAACTTTACATAAAGACTTTCATACTGAAGTGTTTTCTTTCAATTACCAACAAATTAATGATTCATTTTATTTTATTTTTTTTTAATTTTATTTATTTATGATAGTCACAGAGAGAGAGAGAGAGAGAGAGAGAGAGAGAGAGAGGCAGAGACACAGGCAGAGGGAGAAGCAGGCTCCATGCACCAGGAGCCCGACGTGGGATTCGATCCCGGGTCTCCAGGATCGTGCCCTGGGCCAAAGGCAGGCGCCAAACCACTGCGCCACCCAGGGATCCCCTTAATGATTCATTTTAAATGAACTTTTCTTCTTTTATA